GTGTGGTTGGTTTATTGTTTAAGTCTGGTCTGGTTGTGTTGTTTTTCCGTTGTAGAGAACGGGTGTTTCGTTCTATTCTTTGTATGAAATAAGTATTTTAATCTAAGTTTTCTGGTAAAACTTAGAATGTCAGTCGGGAGTTCCCGCTCTAGTGTTTTTAAGTTTGGGGTGGGAATAAACTTGAGTCCCTTAGAGAGAACAGAGTATTCTGCTTCTGACGGTGTGTAATCCGACAAGTAATCAACGAGCTTAGTTTTCGCTGCTTTGGTTTTGTGTGTTTTATGAGTGTTTGAAAGGATGTATTGTTTTTTTGGCTTTGTAAAGTTTGTTGTTGCGTTTCCTAGCCATATTGGTGGTTAGGTTGATTCTTAGTTGTCAGTGGTATGTGTTACATGTGTATCAATCAAATTAAAATGAAGCTAGCGTCCCAGACGCTCTTCATATGCAAAAAATCCCCCTGAGTAAAACTGAAAGCAATACTCAGGAATTATAGACCGAGAAGTTTATGTAAGATTACTGAGGAAACTCACTATACAATGAGACAATTTATTTCCAGATTTATTTACAATCTTTACTTCTGTACTTCAGAGTATGTTCTACTCCCCTTGCCAATGTCTTAGTCCGCCCCTGTGAACCACCTTGATAATGTCCCCTCCCGGGTGTCGCCTTGTCACCCCCCCTCCAGATCCACCAATTGTTTTAAACCATGCTGCCTATATTAATATTATCATATAATCAATCTGGCATCCGTTTGAGTTTTCTAACCCTGCTATAAAGGATGGTATCTAGAATGGTATCTTACACTTTTTTCTGAATGTTGATATCCAAAAACATATCTTTAGTTTATCAGCACATACTGGACACAATATAACGAGTATACACATTGTAATATAGATAAGAGAATATTGGGGAAAATTACAATCCCTTTGATCAAATTATTAAGATTTAATCTCCAGCTGAGGTGCAATCAAAGTATTGATACACATAATTAGCAATCAGAAAGATGCTCTAAGTTAGATTAAAGTTTCCAAATACCTTTGTTGTAACATCTTATTTCAAAAGAATGGATTTTGAGAGTATTGATGAATGGATGAATTCATATTCATATCAAACATTCACAATTATAATTTACAGTGGAATTCCTTCAATAAATGCAACATATTTACCATTTAAGATTTCTTATTGGACTTTCCGCATAATGATAAAATGTTGATGATATAGTTTTCGGTAAAACCACAGGGCCGTAGCCAGCGTTCAGTGGGGGGATGCAATTACCAAAATATTTATAGGTTTTCAGTCAGGGGGGGGGGGCGATCGTGATATAAATTAGGCAAAAATGATTTGTTTTGAATTTCAACAAAAAATGATGCCACTTCCTTCAAACCTGAGCTGGAAACCTCAAACAAAAAAATCATTTTAACGCTCTTTTCTTCCTCTACCTGATGGTTGTATTTAATTGGTTGTAGGGAGGGGGTGCGAACCCATCGCTCCCCCTTGTTACGCTTATAAAACCAATTACATATTCCCAAGGAATCGACTTTATTAATTATATGTGCATATTTGTAAATGTGCTTGCATGTAGAAATTGCACCTTCCCCTGACCGACCCGGTAATGTTTATGACTTTTGAATGATGTCTACCCCTTGATGCATGTATCCTTTAAAAAGTGGTGTTAAGAATATTGGTGTAGGCCCTGGTGAAGGGAAATGTCATAAATATTTGACGTATATCGTAATATAGCCGCGTCCCCTTTGGCTTTATCCTTCCAAAAGCAAACGGCAGATGAGAGGGATTCTGGCGTAACAGAATGTTTGACGTAGAATTAAAAAGGAATAAATGATTGATCTGATGCTTAAATAAGCCACTTACAAGATACAGTTTTAAATACAGTTGATATTGTGTAAAGTTTGTAGCCAGGGGGGGGGGGGGTGCGATGGGTGAATGATCGCACCCCGCACCCCCCCCCCATAACCAATAAAGAAGGAAGATGAAAGGAGCTTTTAATGCCTTTTATTTAAAACTTCTAGTTCAATTTTGAAGGAACTTGTATCAATTTTTGTAAAATTCAAGATAAAAATTAATATTTTGGCTTGTTTATGCCTATCGCGTCCCCCCGACTAAAAACCGAATTTATTTTGACAATCGCACCACCCTGAATGAAAGCTGGCTACACCCCTGTGACATGTATTCAATTGATGTAGCTATAGAATAAAATAAGACATGATTGTTTTGGCATTTTGAAAATAATACCTTTGTTTTCCTTTACTTTATGATGTGTCCTTTTTCAGCGTTTGGTGTTCTGCAATGAATTAAATTGAATCAGTTAAATTGAATCAGGGTTTAATTTTGCAAGCGAATCTCGAAACAGGCGCTAAGCACAATAACCTTTATTTTAAACCAAAGAGTAACAATTCCGTAGCCAGGATTTGCAAAGGGGCGGGGGTCACTTTTTGAAAAATTCCAGGCAGGGTTCACTTGTGACAATTTTGGTCCAAAAATAGCAGGAATCACGATGGGTGCGAGCAACCCTCGCCCCCCTAAGGCTACGGGCCTAAGTATATGTTTTATACAGAGAGGTATATTCCAAATATTGAGTTTGGTTTAAAGAGAAGTATCAATGACAAGGGATTATTCTTTAAGAGTTTTAATTTTATAATCCACATAATCTGATCTTGTGATAAACCTAATGATCAAAGGATGGCTTTTTGCATCATTGTTAAATCGGGGATAAGTTTGACAATACCCATGTTTGGAAATACCCATGTTTAACTTGGATTTAATTTAAAACATTTGATTCCAGTTTTCTAATGAATTTGAGTTTGATTTGTTCATGAATTGTTAGACTTTGTCCAATGTCAATTGATATTGTTTTTCTAGATATTTAATTGATTAAAGATGTCAAATCATGGGAACCAAAAAGTATAATCTTAAGGCCGTTTAAAACGCTTTTATAAGATTCAAATGCTCAAGGTTAATGATTTTCCTTGTTTTAAATGTTTTAAACAATTCATTTGTGCCCTTGTGCCAAGATTTTACTTTGTTGCCATTTGAAATGAGATCATTTGTATATTCAAAATTTCCGTTCTTTCAAATAAAAAGTCAGACGATAGCCTATAGAGAAATAACTATAGGGAAACTACTATTTGTTTGAATATATTCTAAGATGAGTTCATAATGCGTAAATCTCGTAGAATCTGTTGACAGCGACCTTTTTTGCTCATTTTTTGTTACCTTCAACTTTTCAGGTGTACATTAAACAAAAAATACGAGATCAATTTTTAATAAATCATACATGATTATTTTGCTCTTAAACTCAAGTTTATTAATAAATAGTTTATTTTGTTCGCAAAAGTATGTGTTTTCAGTTGTATGTGGAAAAGTGGAGGACGAAAGGTTTTCAAAATTCATTAAAATAGGGCTAATTTACGCCATTCGCCTATTTTCAAGCACAGCAACACGTATATTTATTTCACCTAAAATATCAATTGATTCGTGTTTTATGATGCTCCTATCCCATTGCTAATACATATACGATATCAGAGTTATTCGCCTTAAATATTTTGAGATATAGAGGCAAATGTGGAGGACGAAAGGATTTCAATATATGTACATTTTTCTCAAAAAACGTCACATTTTGTGGTGTTAAAAAGCGAAAATGTGTAACAATGCGTGCGCGACCTTTTTGCGACACGTCATTGTCATTTGATGGATTAACCGCGCCTTGGGGCATTTAAGATGTCCATCAGACAATAACAACTCTATTTTGCATTCCTGTAAATTTATAATATATTTTCGGCAATTTCTTTTGCTTTCATTAAACACATAATCTTATACTTTGGGTAACGAATCGTCCACAGCCCTTTTCAGGGCTAAACCAGTCCTTTTCAGGACTTTAAAACAAGTCCCCCAAGTAGTCACCAAGTGGATCCTATTTCTCCGAGCAGCTAAGAACGCAAGCAACACGCCTGTCAAACGGCCCTTTTCAGGGCCACCCTTTCTTTAAAAAGAGAATTTAAATTATGAATATCTACATGTAGTTAAAATGTGTTAAAATGGATTGATTGATTGAATGGTTGAATGGGATATGTAGATAGATATTTTGATCTTGTGATTGCTAATTGTTGGGCCATTTGTTTTGAACGCGGCAATTTGATGAAAGTGCATGGTTTATCGTGCTTTTAAATGAAATAGATGCTGGTTCACTCATTGTTAACGAAAAAGACATTCGTTTTATTTCATTCACATTTGTTTTATTTTTTCTATTTAAAGCAGATATGAAATGGATAATAGGATGAACAACCAGCATAACTGATTTTGCCAAGACCGTGATTCCCGAATATTGAAAGTAATAAAATAAAAAATCGCAATCTTTCCATTATACACATTCAATTTCCCTACGTTGTAAAATCGAGTGTTTGCCAAAGGATATTCGATCGTTTTATTTTAATTATGCGATGAGCAATTTTACATTTATGTTTTGCAAATCGTCGCATCTTTCATTCATCCCCATTAACCCTCTACAGTTGTGCTATAATTTCAGCAAAACAAACATTCCTTTAAAAAAAATCGAAAATAAATTTTATAAATATATGAATTAAAAATAATGCGAATGTACTAGGCAGAGACATGTCATGTTATATACACACAGAGGCAATTATATCGTCGCGCCAATCATAAACACAGGGCAGATCTAGACTTTGTTTATCTGTTTACATAAGACTTTGGGCCAAGAATATCCGCGTATATCCGCTTTTGATTGAACATTTCTTGAAGAATAATTTATTTTATTCGCTGAGCTAGGTTTATTATTTGGCGTATAATATTATTATTTGCCGAAGATAACAGGATATAGTAGAATATATTTTTTTTCCGAATAAGATACCCGTATCTACTCCTGTTATTCGGCTAATATTATATTAGGTTACACCCGTTTAAAACCTCTTATAGGGGCAAATAAGAGGCATGCAGAAACCTACAATATTACCGATTTTGCCCAGTGTCAATATGAATATCAAGAACCTTATGAGCAGCCGTATATTCAACAGGGTCAGCCTTATCAACAGCAGGGTGGAACATATCAACAGGGGCAACCTCATCAACAGCAGGGGCAACCACATCAACAACAGGGGCAGTTATATCATCAACAGCAGGGGCATTTGTATCATCAACAGGAACAACCATATATTCAACCTACACAGGCACCATATGTAGCCGCAAGACAGTCTAACTCATACGCTAGAGATCAAGAAGTTTACCAATCAAAGGTAAAATTTTTTTTTTTGTGAACCAGATTAGTCTAGCATGAATATCTGGTCCCCTTTAGTATCTATTTTCCAAATTAGGAGGGAATGCAGGGTAAAAGAATATTCAAAAATATAAAATGAACTATCAGCTTATCAATAATTTGAAGAACTGTGATTTTAAAGAACCATTCATTATTAGGACTGTCATTGATATAAGTTTGTATTTAATTCTTTTTCCAGGATTATGTTTTTGATGACGAATCATATCCTTCACCCAGAGAATTCATCCAAACTGCTTCCGTTGTAAGTCCTGTGCAACAGAAACCATACGAAGAACCACCACGTTTGGCTGCCCATACACACCCTAAAACTAAACCGAAGATGAACCCCTATAACGCATTGCCACCTATTGATCAAAACCAGTACCAGGGTGAAATTGATACACCACAAGCAGATAATGGAGGTGGTTATGCTGCCCAGTTTAAGCAGAAGAAGGATAAAGTACCTGATAACTATAAGGCATATACATACAAAGACTACCAGCGTATGAAGAAAGAAGTAACTAAGCCATTGGGAGGGCTTGGCCCTGATACAGACAGTGAAACCCTCATTGAGAAGGTAAAAGCCTCAGTTTACTTTAAAATGCACTTATGACTTTCACACATTTGCAATTTTACTTCAATTGAGTTTGTATTGATCGGTGATTTCAAGAATATATTCTACACTGTCTCATCTTAAGGTTAATAAACCACAGTATATCATTACAAAATATATGGTTCCATTAAAGAAAAACTTCCATTTCCTAAAAGGGTAATGATTAATGCATAATGATAGTAACATGATTGGCAATAATCCAGCTACCTAAGAACAAAAAGTATCACCATGTATGTAAAAATTGAAATGAATCACTGATATATTACAGAAAGAGAAGATCCAGAAACAACGACAATACGCAAAGAAAGCACATGAACGCAACATGATGATGAGAGTGAATCAAAACCCAATGAAACCCAGGGCAGAGGACAAAACTGAAACTATTGATGAAAAATCACTTAGGCGAAAAATGGTAAGGAAATACAGTTAGACCCACTCCATTGTGCTAATTTTTTACATTTCTGATAAAATTTTGAATTGCTGTTACATGTATTTGAATGACAGTACCCACAGCATGGAGTTTGATTAATGGTCCTGTGATAAATGATAATAATTCAAAGAGAGAATGCATGGGGGGCCATTGAAGAGCAACGAGACACATTGACCCCACTTCCAATAAAAAAACCAACGAAAACAGGCATGTAAAAACAGTGCTAAGAACATGACAATAAAATGTTTTTCAAGAGTGCAGTATTTGAGGTATAATCTCCCTAAACATCTTTTTACAGGCGATGGAATATGCTAGGAACGTCCCAAGGCCACAGGTCCGGCCACAACCTAACCAGTTCAATTCCTATGAAGTAGCGGCTGCTATGGATTCACCAAAACCAGGTGCTGGGTCTGACAGCCCTGTTCTAAGGGCTGGTACCTATTCCCAGAACACTCATGGATCTCCTAGAGCTTTACAGAGAATAAATAATCCGCAAGCAGAAATGATAGATCTTGAAAATTTGAAACAACGTCATGAGAGGGAGAAACAAAATATAGCTACAATACGTCAGAATTTAAATGGTGTGACATCATAATTTTTATAATCCTTCATAATATCCTCCAATATAGCTCACATGGTTAGCTTTTGCAATCACCAACTTTACATCCGTCTATCCATCACATTTTAAAACCTCAGAATGAATCCTGGTTCAAAAGCTTGCCTATTTTCAAAATGGCTACCATTTTTGTCCTGTGAAATCCACCTTTTGACCATTTGTTTAAAAACCTCTGTCGATAGGATTCCTGTTTTGAGTTATTTTTGTTCATCATCAATAATTTCAAGTGTCTTGTATTGTAAAATGCCATGTCACTGTAAAGAGTAGATTTATGAAATTATTTTGTAACAAAAAATCTGCAAAAAATTATATTCGTTTTTTTATTTTCAGGCATTTTATAGTTCTTGAATTGTCCATCGGTCTCTCAGATAGTCCACAATAGCGGCATGTTTTAAAACCTCTGTTGATAGGATTCCTTATAAGTTATTTTTGTTCAACATTGATACAGAAAATCCACTTGGTACAAAAGCTCACCCTTTTTTCAAAATGGCCGCCATTTCTTTTTAAGAGCAACACCATGTGAGCCCAGTACCCACGGTACTATTTTGATTTTGTAATTATCAAGGATGCCTGAGAAAAAGGGGACGTGGATCTACTTTGTGAAATGTGCCATGTACCAGTACAAGTACATGTACATCTGGAATATTGCCAAAACTATCAGTTGCAAGATTGCACTGGTCTAGATATAGCATGACAATTGTGATTCTATGACTATTGCATATTGTGATTCTGTCTGATTTATGTATGTATATGGGTAGTACTGAGAAAACACAAAGAGCAACATTAGAAAAAATATGTCAAATCTCAAAAGTAACGTTACAATAATGGCAGGTTTTAGCAAGAGGCTTAGACCTACATGTATTCCTGATGAAGAAGAATTTTATTAAAAATGATAAATCAACTAATAATATTGCAAATGATTAGATTGATAAATACCAAACATTAGTGCAATGTCAAATGCTATGAAACTGCGAGCTCTCTTCGGGGAGACAACTGTATTAACGAAAGTGGACTTAAACGTGAGCACAATAATACAGAACATGTACCTCGCCCGGATTAGAGACAATTAGAATAATTTGGAATAGCTATAGGTCTAATATAAGTTAATAGTTATATATAAACATCTTTAAGTTGGCCGTCCCCCCCACAATGAGTGTGTGATGAGCACCGTGTGTGACGAACGGAACGTCAGTGAACTCAGAATACAGGTGTATAGTCATAATGAAAATTTGTATTTTGTCAAAACATGTATATATATATCATTATTCTTGACTTAGCAAGAATGACCACTTGGACATTCAATATCGACCTGGGGGAAGATGTTGGCGGTTCCAAGTATTTTATAGCTACACGTACGTGTATTTTTGCGTATTGTACTTGTAGCTCTTGTCATTTCTCAAATCTTACTTAAAATGTTATTGGTGTTTAGTAGAGTTCTATTTTTCCTATTGTTATTTTTTTGATACGCATCCAATATTACTGTAATATATTAGTATTAAATTACATGTATCTCCAATAAATGGAGGGAAAATAAATCTAATAATAATAATTAATAATTTGTTTATTTAACTTATTAACTTCGTTACCATAGTTTGCCATCAAATTGCAATCAACCCGCTATTTGCATTCGCGAATACAAGCAAAGTGAGCTACTGTTAGGTTTTATTAGGTTTGATCTAAAACAAATTAAACTTCAGATAACGATTTTGCTGCCATAAACCACGAGCTTTCAAGAGAGCTGTTGAAGCCCATGCCATAACCAACTTTGTAATACAAGTACCAAATTGCAAAATCCAATGTGCATACATGGGCATTCAATAGATATGTTACATGTTAAATGAAGAAAATGGTTCTACTGGAGTAATCCAAACACAAAATGCCTGTGTAAAGAGTTAGATACCTCTGGGCTGCAAACCAGTGTCCCCACCTCCTTACTTTTGAAAACTAAAACACTTAAACTCGGAAGAATATAACCACCACAATCCAAGGACCTTTGTGTGTCGCTATTATTTCATTTTGGTAAAAATCCGAGAAAAACATAAGTGACATAAATCTGATTAGTTATTCAATCTTTCAAAAAGGTGTTATAGTTTCACAACAGAAAAAGGTCACCATCTTTGGCAATCTTTCCAATTACTCAGATGCAAGTAGGTAGTTACCAGTTTCGCCACCAGGTGGCTGATTCGGGGGAAATAACATGGCAGGGTATTACAAAATTCCCTTAAACTTGAATATGCATCAGTTTTAGTGGTTCATTTTTCAAATTACCCTTATGTATGTGATAGTTATACAAATTAAAATATGTCCAGTAAAAGAAAATATTATCTGCCCAACACAAGAAAAGATATTTCACTTTTTGTGGTTTTACAACATGGGCTCTATGAGGAATCTCCCCGACCTAGAAGTCACATTTTTAAAGAAAATAAAATTTTCAAAGTTGATAAACTCTTTTCAAAACCACATTTCTTAGTGTAGATTTACATGTAGATTCCAAATATGACATCAGTTTGACTGAATTGTGAATTTTTAATGACGTAAATCAAGATTATTTCTACCCGCATCTGGGATATTGGGTTATTCCCAAAGCAACACAGGGTGTCCCGAAAGTACGGGGATATATATGTATATGCAGATAAAAGGTGGCATTATTAGTATTACAGAGAATTTGGTATTTTGGTATCAAAAATTATTTTTGTTATCATGATATTAACCTTTAAAGCAAAATACAAATACTAATTTTATTTTTTATTAAAAATTATTCAATTTTTCTGAACAACAAATATATTGAAATTCAGTACAAGAATAGACACTTTGAATCCCAGTCCTAATTTGATATTAGTCCTAATAGTTAATATATGTGATCCATCCTCCGTGGACACCCAATCCAATTGAACCAAATGCAATAATGAAATTTCAGTTTAATTCTTCATTGATTTTTGTTTCATCATTGAAATGAGTTACAGTATATCAAAAATGTGTTCCCCTTTAGAGGTTTTCCACTTACAGAGGATAAGCGGAATTTTCAGCCTTCCAAACGTGTTCCACTTTCAGAGGTGCTCCACTCCAAGTTTAACTGCATCGTAACACACGTATTTCACATCAAAAATTGCTTTAATGTAAAAGTAAGCTGTAAAAATTGATAAAAAAGACATATTGTGCAGTTGGGGCATATATTGAAATTACAGTTCTTGGTAAAAATCTGAGTACACACCTGGGTGAGACAAAGTATTGAAACTCATTAAATGGATTACAAAATGACATTTCTTAAAAAGATGGCACAATAGAAAATAAGCTCCCTTCATTTTATCCTCATATTCCAGGCATTTTATGACATTACAACTGACATTTAACTATAAATAATGATGTGACTAATATAACTTCAATAAACTTTTTGTATTATACCTCAAATATCAATAAAAACAAGTGAAAATCAATTTTACATTGGATTTTTCATTTCTAGGAAATTGGAAGGCATTCCAAATAAACGTGATTAACTTAATTAAGTATACCCGATTACAAGGAATCAGTTGTTCCACTTGTTTTAATTGATAGTATAATTCATGTTATTGTTCAGCAGAATATTAATTCAATAATTTCTCTGAAAAAAACAAACCAAATGCTAATAGGTACATGTACAATTCTGAAAGTATTGATATCACCAACATGTAGTCAGAGACAAACATAAATTATGGGTTAACTAAAGAAAGACCATACAACTATTTACAAGGAATTAACATACAAAATGTCACCACCATTTGTTACAGACACCAACAGCCTATCGCCAACCATTGATTGCCAACCGCCATCGCAGAAAATGGAGACCATAACAATATGTCACGACTTTTTGGTGGTGACATACCAAATGTGGCTTTATGGTGAAGAAACAACTACTTTTAGCTCCTTTGAATACTTTGTGTGGATTTACTTGAATAACACACCACATTGTAATAACAGGAAAGTGAGCATGTTAATCTGAGATGTATATAGCGTTCAAGTCAGATATAAATATTCCTCTATAAGGATGAGTACATGTATGTTAGGGAGCATTTCAAAAGATCAATGTCGGAAAATTTTAGTTATAGGGAGGGGGTCATTTCTTAATACAGTTATGGATGGATGGAGGGGGTCACAGATTAACTGTTCATATAGCCTAGTAAGCCATCCTACATTGAACTTTTGAGAACTTTTGAGTCCCTTTTAAATGAAAAGTTTACCTTTGTTAACGTTGTTTTGATGTTGAGTGAAGATGATGTGTGATGAGCCTCAAAAAAGTCGTAGTGTTTTTCCCCTTCAATCTGAACTTTGGGGGTTTCTTGGGGACCTGACAAATATAAAGATGAGTTTGCATTAAATTATTTCAGAAACTATCTAACAGATCAAACATTTAATTCCGATTCAATCTATAATTTATTTCATATATAGGCTCATACACAGGCTGCTGTTCGACAGAACAGTGAAAAACAGACTTGACCTGAAGTCAAAAAGACCTAAAAAACAAGTATGAATGTAGAAATCACTGACTACTTCAGATTACTTTAAAATCATATATTAGACTACTTAAGGTTATTTGTCTGTAATAAACTGACAGAACTGTCATACAAGTTAAACTGAAATCATCAATGGCAATTTTTCTCACCATCTGCTATGTTATCAGATGCAATAATGATTCTCCAAATATGTACCAATGAACCTCCACCTCCTGCTTCCTCCATCAGGACGAACAGGTAGAAGCTTCTCTGCGGAGATCTACTGTGGCCTCCTGTGTGCTTCCATTATGGGAGGACCCTCCAGACACTAGCTGTTGTTGGAATACATGAAGGAGCTGTGTATGCTGCCAGTCCTGAAATACTAGTACATAATGGGAAATACTCATGAATTCTTTTCGATATCAATGGATTTTTTGTTTGATTCTCTTTAATTTTGTGTTTAAGATAGATATCATTTTCCAGTGTATCCTTTCTGTCATGTTTGAATGCAAGGCTTTAATTGATAAAAATTACAATATCTCAAGAAGGATGGATTAAAAAGTATACCATTTCAGAGTCATGGTTAAGTAGTTAATTGTTAATTGAAGTTCTGATCTACAGTTCAAAATATTACTATTACATACTAGTAGTAACTAAGCATACACTGCTGCTTTGAAATATGTTTTACGTAAATGGTATTTAGTTATTTCCTTCTAAATGGTACATTTTTGTCTCTCAAGAGATCTATAATAGCTTTGGTGTAAATCAGATGTAAATATAGGTAAAATTAAAGGTAATGGTAACGAGGCAATTTATATCAGTAAATAATATAGTAGGCAAGGGACACATTAACTAAAGTTATATTACTATATCTTTGGAAAAACGGGATTGCTGTAATAAACTATTATTTAATCTAAATATCTTAAGTTAAATGCAAATACTAAAGAGTTACTTAGAGCTAAACTTTTGTGACAACGGTTGTGATAATATAAAATGCCAATGAAAGATATGAGTGGGGAGGGGGCATCATTGGGGTTCAATGCAGAGCTGATTGTGTTAGCATTAGGGCTGAAGCCACCGCGTCAACTGCCATAATTGCTCAACTATGACTCAACATGCACACTTTATGGCCACGTTTCATAAAAAACAACAATGTTATAATACTGGACTACATGCATGTATTTTAACAATTTGAATGTCACATCAAACCTCCTTGCTACTGAGAATTTGCCTCTTTGTTTCATCTCTATTTATCACCAGGATGTTCCGTCGTGACTAAATATCATGAACATAAAAAATATATAACCAGTATGCATGTCTGTTTACCAAGAATGAAACAATAGAAAATGCCACAACATTTTGTTTAGCCACTAACGTGAGATATAAAGTCATGTTGATCCTTTTAATTAAATGAAAATATCAAAATAACAGCATATTATTTTCACTGTTCTTGAGCAAGAGTGCATACAATGGAACCTTACATCATGCATAACTACATTAGGCTACATATATTTGGAGCAAACAAGTCAATATTTCAATGTGTCCCATATTTAATGCTTAGTATCTAGTCCCTTCTACTATATCTGAGAAGTAGATAATTATTAGACTATAGTTTTCGGGACAGAACAATCCACATCTGTTTTCTTAATAACTTTTTCAATGCTCAATAATTTTCCATGAAATATTCACTGGCAAAACGTTAAAGCATATATGACAAACACAATATTTGTTTAACATTTCTAAAAAATCCTGTAATTAATGAAAATTCTGTCTTGATTACTATGTGTAAGAGAATAAAATAGTCTTTTATCCCAAAACAAGAAGATCGATATGCTAACCTATACTGAATGAAAAGTAAGCCACATCATCACAATAATCACGACTGTATTAAAAGGTATGACGTATACCAATTGAAACCACACCCTCATGATACCATTGTACCACTTGATCACAACTCTCACACTGTCCTTTAAGACCATTAAACCACATAGATTGAAATATAGTTTAAAAGCCAGAGTGTCGCATGGGCCATCACCATTCACCAAAGGGTGTCATAAAGAGTGAGCTGAGCTGTTTTGAAAGAGGGCTGATACTAAATTGGAGATGAATCTCATGATAGTTGCTTCAGCCTTGATGCTGTCTGTTTTGACAGGTACGATTATTTAAGCTTCTTTTAAGAAACTTTTAATGGAACACCTTTACATATGAGGCTTTAAATGTAAACTGAAAGAAAGATCAGACAAAAATCACATTAGAAATAACTAAAAATCATAAACCCACGTTCACAAATATGAATGTCATCTCTCTTTATTTAAACCTTATTTAATTATATAATCCATTTTGGTTTTGGATAATGAAAATGCTCTCTGAATTAGGTGGAGTAGTGTTAGACACTGTTTCTTAGTCAGTTATAGATCATCATTTGTATTAAATCACTGTGATGCTGGGTTTTGTTTCCTTATTACATTTGTACTTTTGATTATTCCCTTTCCATTTTTTCAAAAATCTGTGCAGCAATAATTTTCCTGTATTCAATTCCTGAGTTGAATGCTTTCTTAAAAAAGATTGGACTAAATCTGAATATTGATATTCATATTATACAGTGTATGACAGTCATGTGTTATCAAGAGCATAAATGGGATCTCAGATAAATATTAGATAATCATACTGGTTTTACATTTGGTGACTATGGATACTATGGGTACCAACACACAAGCTATGAGTAGGAAATAGGAATAGCCTTTTTCATTTTGGAGATGAATGAGGATTACTTGATTAAATAAAGGTAATATCTTAATGTTTCCAGTCAATGCTGCTAAATCATGTGACAATGATGGGGAATGTAAGCCTGGATTTTTCTGCAATCCAACAAATGACCTTTGTGAGAGACAATCTGAGGCAGGAGATCCATGTACATTCAACCGTCAGTGCAAGGGATCATCTAATTGTGAAGAAGTTCCAGGAAGTGACCTAGTTGAGAAAGGTGAGAATAACCAAATCACTCAGTTTTTGCTAGTGATTTTCTTTTACACACGAGCAGTGATTAAACTAGTTTGTTTAAGGTACAGCTGGAAAATAACATTTTTGTAAAAAAATTTACTATACCTGCACATGTTTTCTGGTACAAAATAAAGTATGAAGACATGTGTCAATTTCCTTGCTTTTTTCAGGAAAGTATCATTACATTATTTTCACACATTCTATTTTTCCAAATTTTCTTTCAAAGTTTCCAGATAACACAGGAGCTACATGTACCATTGATCAGTTTCCCGGTTTACTACAGGGTGGGCCAAAAACGCCACTTTTTTCAAGACACTACAAATTTTTTATTTTCCAACCTACATACCCCAAATTTTGCAGTTATATAGTGCCAGGGGTTCTTAGTAATAATATAATGTAACAAGTCCTTCAACTTGGATTATATTTGATTTAAAAGAGGAGTTCAATTGGTCCGCCACCCTATTTGATGATATATTTTAGTTTTAGTCGCCCTGCTAATATAGCAGTATCAATGAAATGTTAGCTAAGTTTTTTTCAACATGTCTTAATTGTCAGCTTTAGTTGAGCAATTTTCTAGATTGGGTGCCTTCATACAATCTCCTGGAGATCTTCCCATACCCTATTCTCACTGGGGTTTGCATCAGGACTATTAGCTTAGCGATCATCAGGCCGTATCAGTTTAGGAACATTTTGCAAATTATGCTTATTTCTCATTGCACACCACATGTTTAAGTGAGACGCTGGTGACATATTCTATTCAAGTGAAAGTGTTCAATTCATGATCCATGGCTAGATAACAACCTCAAGTTTCAAGCATTTTGAAAAAGGGGCGTTTTTTGGCCCACCCTGTAGAAGTAGACAGTGTAGTGATACTTTTCTGAAAAAAGCAAGGAAATACACATATGCCTTCATACTTAATTTTGTACCAGAAAATAACATGTGCAGGTATAGCAATTTTTACCAAAATGTTACTTTACAGCTGAGCCTTAAATTGTTTACTTTTTTTGATTGTTAGCAATCAGTACATGTAATCAGTACATGCAAGACTTTCTTCCTTTAAACAGTATGCACTGAGAGATGCCGAACAGACACCGACTGCGAGCAGTATGTTAAACCAAAGCCCAGGCCCAAGGTAAAGTACTGCACTACTGGTGGGCTCGAAACACTTGTGAAAGGATACTGTTTACCAACAAAGGGAGAAGGAGAGGACTGCAACAGGAGCCCAGAATGTGAAGGCAAACTTTTCTGCAAACATGGCACGTGTGTAGGTAATAACACACTCATATATTATATTGGAATCTATCTTAGTATTTTTGTGCTTGGACTTAAATGTTCTTCTTTGGTTGCAATCAAACAAGGTCTGAAAACAGTAGCCTGATTTGAATAAGACTCAATAATAATTTACAAACTTGGTGTTACGTTAACATATGTGCATATACCATATACTGTACATTTGTATACGTAATATATATTTCTATACAGAGGCGGCAGAAGCTGTTACGTGTGAACTTGACTGTAATGGTCCAAGGGAGAAGAACCCAAACAACATCAAACCAGGAGACACAGTCAAAGTGACTTACTCATGTACCTTCATTAGAACTGGGGAGTTTGGACCATTATCCATCAGGCCAATTTTGATGTGAGTTATATGTGCATAATGTTTCAATAATTTATGGGTTCATACATTGTCCAAATCAGTTATAAATAAAGCATATAAATAAAACTGTTCCAACATATAAATATTCTTTGTAGGATCACCAGCAAAATAAACATTTTGATAAAAAAATTGAATGATTTACTTCTTATAAAATAACAAACCTTAATATTTTAGGCTGAATAAGAAGCCCATCAAGCTTGAAAATGCTCAAAAAGTATCGGATTCGCCAGTGACAATTAGTGGTTCGAGATCAATGGTAGCCAGAAAGGGAGAATTCTCAGCAGAAATACAAGGGATGATGAAAGCATGTAAAAACCATCGAAAACTTTGCCGTGCATCGAAACGCTGCATCCTCTAGGCTTAAACATGCATACTGAATATTTTTGAAATTATAACAGATGCAACAACTGGACCTGAAAATCCTACTACTGAACTTATAATAAAAATAGAACACATCATTTACTGTCCGAACTAAATTATGAACTAGTGTGTAATAAAACAAATTGTAAATTTAAATGTCAGACTTGATTGATATGTGATTTAAAAGGTATATGCTTTACTTGCCTTATTTAACTCATTGATACTTTATTAAAGTCTATGGATTTGGCATCAAAAGTTCATTTAATGATATTCATCAATATTATTTTTAATATCATTACTCTTTTCTTCAAATATTGACATTTATTTCTGATTATTTACCAAATGCTAAACAATGTACACTCCAAATAGATAAACAAAGCTTTAAGTCATGTTTTTCTGCTTTCTGCCTACAATAGTGAGCATAATATTGCAGAACAACTTTAAACCAATACACCACATTTTACAATTACACACAATGGCGCAGAATTTTCGTTACAATGAAAATGTGACAAGCAGGGATCCATCCCTAAATAAATGAACAAATAGATAAATTAATTGAAAATAAAACACCTCGAATATCTTTTGAAAATCTATTGAAAATAATTCTATAAAATATCAGGACTATTATCAATATTTATGCACACGTGCCAAGGGAAAATGACAAAAGTTGTTATGGAACGTTGTAAGAAAAAGGAAACACTTAGTGTATACCAGTCATAAGAAACTATAATCTAATTACTTTTCCCCTACCATTCAAGAAACAAAATCACAATCCAAGACCTACGAAGCTTTAAAAGGGACATTTTTTCATTTCTATTTTTGAAAATCATAATTAACTTTTAAAAACTCACAAAATACTTATTGAAAATTTAAAAACTTTAATAAAAATAAAAATAGTTTTTTAAAATCATAATTAACTTATAAAAACTCACATAATACTTATTGAAAATTTAAAAACTTAAATAAAAATGTAAATAGTTTTTTAAAATCATAAATAACTTTTGAAAACTCGCAAAACACTTATTTAAAATTCAAAAACTTTAATAAAAATTGAAGTAACTTTTGTAATTTGAAAATTTAATTTTTTAATTTCAAAATATATATAAAAAAATTAAATAAATTGATTTAAAAATCAATTTAAAGATTTAAAAACACTTTTAGAAAATCCTTAAAACTTTAGACTCTATTTTAGGATTTCAAAAATCAAATATGTAAATGTAAAATGATTTATAGAAATTATAATAATTTTTTAGAAATATTTTTGCAATTTTTTTTTGCAAAACTGATTTTGGAAATTCATAAGTCAGTTCAGATTTTTAGATAAGTCTGAAATTTTTTAAAAGTCTTCTGTAAAGGAAAACTTTATGTGGCGTGTCACGGTTGAAATTAACGGAAGTGAAGGAAGCGGGAATTGTCAAGCTATAATAGTCTATAATAACTATAATAGTCCAAGTAGCAAACAGGTTGTACAACCACTCATTAGAAAAGATGGCACCACCGCTGTCACTGATTCTGATATTTCTCTTGAGTTCTTGGTAAAATATGGTAAGGAAGACCTTAATATTCCTGACCCATGGTTTACTCTTGTGGAAAAAGATGCAGACTTGGCTGTTGTTATTGAAAAACAAAACATAGCTAAGCCAAATTATGAAAGTACATGCCAAGCTGAAAACAAAGAGCTCACACTCAATGAACTAATTAGTGCTATAAATAATTCTAAAAGCTTGTCTGCACCTGATCCACGAGAGAAAATCTTCTACATAATGATCAAGAACTCTGGTCAATTGTACATCAAATCAATGTTCAAACTTTTTCAAAAATGCTGGAAAAGAGGCATTTTACCAGATGAGTTCAAGATAGATCCCAAGATTATGATACCCAAACCTGCAAAAGATAACTACAACTCAGATGGGTCGTACAGACCCATTACCCTGGAATCAGTCATAGGAAAGCTCTATGAACATGTAGTTGGTAACAGATTCAATTGGGCAATGGAAGTAAAAAACATGTTTTCTACATTCCAGGACTCTTACAGAATTTTCCGCAGCTGTACTCATACAGTACTCAGATTGGTACAGGCAGTTCAACAAGGATGGAACAAGGGTGAAACCACTATCGCAGTAACCATAGATTATGACTCCTGCTTTGAACGGGTGTGGCGCAGGGGTCTGATTTATAAGCTGCACAGGGGCGGTATAGATGGTAGACTTCTATGCTTCATAGACGAGTATCTCAGCAATCGTCAATATTCATTGACTGTGAATAATTTCACTTCTGAGCTTAGAACATCTAAGGTTGGGATCCCTCAGGGAGCTGTAGTTTCTCCGTCTCTCTGTAATGCCTATACGGCAGACTCCCTTACAAACGTAGTATCCAATCACGGGGAATACGCAGACGACGTTATACTTTGGAGTACTGACTATGATCCACACAATGCTACAAACACACTTAACAATGACATTTCAAACCTGTCAAAATGGTGCGACCAGTGGAACATGGGCGTTTCACAACATAAATGCAAGGTCATAGTGTTCTCACCGCCAGGCAAGGCTAGACCTAATGTGGACATCAAATTTAACAACATTTCTCTCAATGTTGTAGAACACACAAAGATACTAGGTGTCATAGTTGATCAGAATCTAAGCTTTGAGGAGCACATACAAGATAGACAGAAAAAAGGCTTTGGAGCATTAAAAACAATCTCCAATTTTACAAATTCCAATCAGGGATGCTCACAGACAGTTTTCTGCAACTTATACAAAAGTCTAGTTCAACCAAATCTTGAATATGGATTTGGTGTAATTGCCACATCCACCGACAAAGCTATCTCTGCGTATAGAACAGTGCACAGACAGGCTCTCCTCAGAGCCACAGGTTGTATCCAATCCACAAGCACTGAAACATTAGAAATTCTAACGAACTGCACTCCTATTGACATACTGTTCAAATCCAGACAGGCTCAGGAATTTGCCAGAATATGTCTGAAAACTGAATCAAGTCCACTCTATAAGGAGACAATATTGTGGAAAAACAGCATAGTCACTGAGAGGAGAGCAACTGCCTTCAGCATACTACATTCACGACTGATAGAGTTCTGCAGGAAACTCCCATCAGAACATCTTGAGAAAGAGTACACCTATAGTTACAACTTTAACAACTTTGAATTTACTGGAGCATCAAGAGACTCCAATGAATTCACAAAATCTAAAACAGAACAACGAGAGAGAATTACAGACATCCTAGAGAACTGCCCTGCAGACGCAACCATTGTCTTTACAGACGGATCAGCATATGGCAATCCAGGACCTACTGGCTCTGCGGCGATTATATACCTACAAGGTCTTAGAGGGGAACCTATTTGTTTAGAACAAGCTATCTCCAACAGAAGCAATAACTTTGTAGGAGAAGTGAGGGCCATCAACCTTGCACTCACCTTTCTACAAGAAAGTCCACTTTGTAACAACATACTACTATTCTCTGACTGCCAGCCAGCGCTTATCACAGCCTTTGAAACAAACGTTCCAAAAAATGAGCTTAACACAGTCATAAATATTCGCAACTCATGCAAAACAATCAGACAAAAAGGTCTGTCAATCAAATACTATTGGGTTCCAGGACACGTTGATGTCAAAGGCAATGAACTGGCTGACAGTCACGCTAAACGGGCAGCATTAGTTGCAAAAAGCGGAAAATACGCTGAGGCTAAAATAAACAAACAGCATATATACAGCTTGATCAATAAATCTGTCCAGACAAAGTGGCAGAGACAATATAATAATTCCAAAAAAGTTAGCCACATACAGCGATCAATAGAAAAAGTTGGAACCAGAGCTATCCTGGGAGAGAAAAACAGGAAAACATTCTGTATTACAAACCAAATGTTAAGTGGCCATACAAAGCTCAATAGCCACCTAAAGAAAATCAATCCCATACTCCCTTCAGACAAGTGCCACAACTGTGACAGGATAGAGACCATTGATCATTTCATACACCACTGCTCCAAATACAGCGAGATTCGTGAGAGACTATTTTATGAGGCTAATAGTATTCTTCTAGAAAGTGAATATAACCCAGAATTGGACATCAAGACTCTGTCAGGTCTGAACAAAACTCTAAAACCAGACATCAACAAAAGGTTGAACTACGCTTTTACAACCTTCTTGATGAAAACAAAAAGATTTTAATTGTCTAACTCATATAAACTTTAAATGTAAATAAGTTACAAGCTAAGGAACTTTAGTGATTTTAAGAAAAAACAAAAATAAAAATAAAAAGAATCTACAAAAACACTAGAGACAGTCACAAGAGTAAAGCACCATTGAAAAAACAGCACCAGAGACTATTAGGTGACATGATAGCACCGTATATATGGACTTAACCAACCAAAGTGAGTATATGTAGGCCTAGTTGTCTATACTAGTGGACTATCTTTTATATATTTTACCTTTGTAAGGCAATCTGTTTGTTCAAAATAACGTAGATGTTGCACTTTACAGATAAACCATTCAAAAGCCAGACATGACGTGAACCACGTGTGCATCACCCCCCCTCAGACCGGCCTGGACAAAAATTCATTCAAAATCATGCAGTTTTTCAACAATTTAGAACTCAGTTCAAGTGATTTTTGGCCAAAGTTGATCACCCTGATTTTTTTTAATGGGATGGTTAGCTAGAGCAGGGGTTTCACTGACTGAATACTAGACACAGGGCCAGGGCTCCTAGCCTGGGGTGTTCACTGTATATAAACCTTGACGGGGGGGATCCTCGGCTCATGTGGGGTCCCTTTTTTGACATTTGGTATGGCAATGGACCCAATTTTTAGGATCTGGAATGAGAATGCCCCCTAAATTATGATTTGAGGTATGGCAATGGTCAGATTTTTCCACTCCTGGTATGAGAATGGTCATGGAAAATACATTGCCTCTCACTTGTGTATGGCATTGGTCTAGTAGTTACACATATCCTTAATTATCCCAACGAACGAAGTTCTGTAGGGATATAGTGAAGCCCTCCGTCTGTCAGTCCGTCCGTCCGTCCGTCCGTAAGATAACTCAAATACCAGTTGACGGATTTTCTTCATATTTGGTGGAACGATGTATATTGGTGAATAGTTTTACCCAAAAAAAAATTTTCCATGATGGCCGCCGCTTTAAAAA